GAAGACTCTCTAGTATATAATATATATATATATATATATATATATATCCATATCAAGTTATTAAAACTCTTAATGTGTTTTTGGAGTCGTACGTTAAAATGAGAGGTTTGCTTTGGTTTGTTTTAATGCAAAGCTACACAATAGGCTAGCCATGAGCCATCCACTGTTGGGAATCAAAGCCGGTATTTTAGCATTGTGATATAAACTTACCATTAAATCATCAGGGGAAATATGAGGAACAGCTATTTAAATAAATACATAAAAATAAACCTCTATTGGTTTCTACAGGACATTTAGGAAATTAAGCCCAATCCAAGATCTAATTCTGAATAAGTATGAGCCTTTATTATAATAAATACAATTACAATAATCATCAATGTTTAACTACTATATATATATTTTACATCCATTAAAACCTGTTATTTATCAAGATCATTATAATGCTGGAATATTCATTCTCTTAGCTAATTTTATTAATAAGAAATAAGGCTAAATACAAAATCTTTCCACAATTATTAAAAGTCGAACAGGACATTCTGAAAGGTACACATCAACATGTCTAATTTATGAAACACAAAAAAAACATATACCAAACCTAAACATACATATATATATTATCATTCCACCTTCCTCATATATTTACTTATTTTTACTAGTAACATTATTAGCTAAAGAAATACATTTTAAACTTTAAAAAAATCTAATCAAACATCTAAGGCAAAAAAGTTCAAAACAGCATATTTTTTGTACTTAACATACTATCAAAGCACAAGTTCTACTTCACATACAGCTACACTTTTGATACTTTTTTCTTTTTGTCCTTCACAGTGTGAGTGGGAGTTAAGAGCATAAAGCACAATCAATTCTGTTGTCAAGTTTGCCATACAGATAAGAATACCAATAGTCGAACATTCTTATCCATAACTTTCTGTATTAGAAGTTTTAAAAAGTATTTATACAAGAGTAATCGAAAAGTTCAGTATTTCTTATTTTATGCATTGTATCGTTATAGTTATGATTACCATATTTTCTATGATCACATCCCCATGTAACTGTGTTACTCTTGCCAAAACTATATAAATGCTTGTTTTTTTCTAAGTGGAACTTACATGCCAAGTGTTTTCTTAGTGATCTGTTTTAATTTCACTGATATACATATATTGACTGTCAACAAAAGCCTGTTATTCTTAGTATAAATATGAAGTACAATTTGTTACTGCTATTTTCTAGGATAGATTAAAGGACAAACTATTTTTAGAGGTTAAATTTCCCAGTAAAAATACATGAAATGTTTGTTTTTTGTTTCCAGTAAATTGACATACATAATTATTACCACGTATCCTCCCATCTACAATAAACCTCTTCCATCATACATTATTACAGATTTAGACTTATTACAATCTTGTAATCAGAAAATACTACTTAAAAATCATTAATTCATGATTTCTTTTTACATTTTCAATAAATTAGTGTTCGTTGACATACCTGATGTTTGGCAAACTATTTCAGTGTTTCAGTTTGTGCACATTTCCCATATAAAAAAAGGCAAACTCCTAACGTAAAATAATTATCCCAATATTTCTTTCTTTAAAGATATTTAAATAAAGTAGCTCATTATGAATTTGCTAAGTTAAAAAAAAAGTCTTAAAAAAACAATTTCAAAACATCTTTAAGTAACTCAACAATTTTCAAGAATAACAAGATTCCTGTTTATTTCAAAAGACAAGTACGCTTTATGTTAAGCTATTTAAGTGAGATGGAACCAGAATAGAACCCAAATCGTTAAACTAACAAGGCCATCTCTTGCACAACAGCCACCCTGCACACTATACTTTTTCGTTTGCAACACCTACTAACATGAATTAAATACTAATTAACTACAGATACATGACAAAATGGCAGACAAACCCAAACATGATAAATTACTTATGTATATCTATTCCTATCTTAACCAATGAGAACAGTTTGATTTGTATAAAATTAAATATTAATATAGCCTGACTGAATAGTAAAAATGAACTAATTAAGTTGTCCTCAGTTAAATGAATTTAGTGAGCTCATTCATAGGTCTGATGCTTGCAACATTAGATCTGTTTACACGTCTAACTCTGAGGATTTCTTAACATGATACGGGGAAATGAACCTGTGTACAAGAAGTGTAAACACCTTGACTGACTAAATCTAAACTATATTTCTGTTTACATCTTTGAACAACAATAATCCAATACTAAAAACCTATCTCAATAGCTATAACTAGTATACGATATACAAGTTGTATTATCTAACAGTGAATACTACATTTTAGGCACTTTGCATGCTTAAAAAATCAAGAGACACCCTTAAAAAACAAATAAACTTCAGACATCTGTAGATAATGTGTAGATTACACATGTGTAATGTGTAATTTTATTACACATAATAAAATTTCATTTCAGATTACCTTTTGTCTCCAGTGCTTATTACAACAATTATTTTGATGAAAACTTAAAAGAGGAATAAAGGAAGACTCTATAGTTTTGCACCAGATGAATTCATAAAAAGGTGTGTGATTCCCCCCCCCCCAAAAAAAAGTTGTCACAGTCAGGAAGTTTTTAAATTTGTTCCTCTTTTTTTCACATTTTAGAAAACAGATTTATTACATGCATAAAGAAAAAACAAACAAATCAAATCACATAAAGTAAAGGAACATACATCTTTAAAATTATTTTAAGGGTGTAAGACACATACAATGATGTTCAAACATTTAAGTTACTTTTATTTCTCAACATGCTTATTAACTCCTTGGTTAAAGCATTCCATTGATACTGACTGTAGGAACTGACAGCTGTAATGAAATAAAACTAAGGGCAATCTGCTTTTTTCAAATATGTGTAGCTGTTGAAAACGAGAAACATTAAAAGTTGCACAGAATAATGCAGAAATCAAGGTGTTTTTAAACAACACAAATGAGTGCAATGTTCATGAAACTATCAGATTCTTTTTTTTTTTTCACCACTAAAGCCATAAGTAGACTATTAAATAGTCTGTAGCAGGTTTAATATTTTCTCTTTCAAATGACAATCTATTTTCTTTAACGTCAAAAGAAACAAACAACATTCTCAAGTACAAATCAGACTAATGTTTAGCTGGGATTTTATCAATACACAGAGAAACAAACATGATCAGAATCAGACTATTATTCAGCTAGGATTTGATCTTTATATAGAAAACCAACATGCTCAAGATCAAATCAGACTAATGTTTACTTGGGATTTGATCTTTATACAGAAAAACAAACAATATGTTCAACACCAAATCCAACTAATGTTTACCTTAGATATGATCTTTACACAGAGAAACAAACAACACACTTAGGACAAAGACTAATGTTTACTTGGGATTTGATCTTTACACAGAGAAACAAACATGTTCAAGACCAAATCAAACTAATGTTTACTTGGGATTTGATCTTTACACAGAGAAACAAACATGCTCAAGACCAAATCAAACTAATGTTTACTTGGGATTTGATCTTTACACAGAGAAACAAACATGCTCAAGACCAAATCAAACTAATGTTTACTTGGGATTTGTTCTTTACACAGAGAAACAAACATGCTCAAGACCAAATCAAACTAATGTTTACTTGGGATTTGATCTTTACACAGAGAAACAAACATGTTCAAGACTAAATCATAATAACGTTTACTTAGGATTTTATTTTTACACAGAGAAACAAACAGCATGCTCAAGACCAAATCAGACAATTTGATTACCATCAATCAAAAAAATGGCACACAGTAAACCAGAACCTATTAACTGAATAAACAAGTGCTGTAAAAACAACAACATGAAGTACACAAACACACATGAAAATACAGGTGCAGTAACTGTGTCCAAAACTGTCAGAAAAAAGAAAGGATGACACTGGAAATACGACTTTAAATTTTCACAATGAGGAAGGAAATGATATCAATAATTAAATTTTAATAACTTGATTTAATGTGTTATCATTTAACTTACAAGGCCTAAAACCTACACAAGGTAAAAGAAACATTTTACGCAATTGAATTATGAGAAAAAGATAATAATAATAAAACATGCCAAAAAGAAACCCTTAATCATAAAAATTGCTGCATATTACATCATGTAAACCCATAAAACTGGACCAATGACCTTTTATTAGATATTTTTAATGTTATGATGTGGTATTTCAATGTTGAACATTACATGCACTAAGTTATGAGGGAAAAATACTTTTGAATAACACTAGTCGAACTGACAGACACCTGATATGCTACTTAACCTAATATGCTAGTTATATTTATTTAAAAATAACAAACTGATGTTAAATGTAAGAATTTTATACAATTTTAAGAAAAACAACAAAATAACCTTTATTTCTCCCCCTCCAATTTGTATTTTGTTTTTACTTTTAATGGTAATCACTGATGGAAAACTGTAAGACAATAGAAACTGTACTTTATTTTTTCTACAAACCATAAAGAAAGACAATCAAACCCCCAAAAAAATAATCTAATTGCTGATCTCCATTCAACCAGTTCCCTTTTATGCTATATATTTGCTAGATGCTGAAAACAGTTTGAAACACCAAAACACCAAGATAATTTTCTTTCTGTGATTAAGGCTCATACAACAACTGATCGTGTCAAGTTGAGGTTGTAGAAAATGCTGTGCTGCCAAGCCAACCTCTAGATTAGCTACACGTCATCATGTATAGCATATTTACATATTTATTTATACATATACAGATCCACTTTTTGCAACCTGACAGTCTGAAAATGGAATGAGCTCAAACCAGAATCAGCAAATATTGAAACCACATTCAATATTTCCATACTATGCACTCTTGTTCTGAGTAACGGCATACACTATAAAAATGAAACAAAGAAAAGCAACAGAAAGTTAATTTAGAAAAACAAAATATACCATGCAAAAAACAACTTTTAAAACAAATAAAATACAGAAATACAAGTAACACAAATACGAATCTAAAAAAACAAAAACAAAAAAGTGCATTACATTGACTAAAACCAAATCCAGGATTTTGATCAATACCGGTTTATTAAATAAATGTTGATTTAAATCTAGAGAGCTTTACTTTCAAGAACATATTCCCTTGCTTCTAAATTTAAAAGACTTAAAATTAACAATGTGGATAGAAATAGAACTAACTATTAAGGTCTATATTGCAAAAATACAAAGATTTAATGAACCACCACTCTAAGTATTAGTGGGAAGAATAAAAAGAAGAAAAGCTTTCATTAGCATGTGAAATTACAACTAAAACTTTTTTATAGAAATAACAGAATATAAAGATTAAAAACATTTACATTTCTAACATGGTTAACAAATGACAAAAACTTCATCAACCCAAATTTCCTTACATTCCACATCCACAAGTAAATTAAGAGACAAGAGCACAGAAATAACAAAAGATTACTCTAATAAATCCTAACCATTTATTGAAAATATGAGATCACTATAACAATCAGTATTATGGAAACAAATTCCAGGAAAGATACGATATCACAAGCAGCAAAGTATCAGTTAAAAGTCCTCAGAATTAATCAAAAGTGTTACCTATTTAATACTTTATCAGATATTACCCACCTGTAAAAGTGAACCGCATAAAAAATATTTTCACTTTAAAATGGAAGAACTTTTTAGTAAGACAACAGAGTAATTATTAACAAGTGTTAGCAGTTACTATGAACTTCTTTCAACTGAAGAAAAAATTTGGGAGAGTAAAAAAGATGTAAAAAAAAAGTGAATTTGTTTCCGTAATATAGTGACTCCCTTCTCCCGATGCATGTTTGCCCAATGGTATATATATATATATATGACTGTGCTCAGCCAAGGGCTTCAGTATCGACAGAGGGCAGACAAACAGTTCTTCAGCCGCTATATACCCAAGCTTCCAAGGTGAAAGGCAGCAATGAATGAAAGCAACACAGAGAAGAAAACACAAGATAATTAGTAAAGTTTGAACAAAAAGTGTTCTCTATACAAACTTCACAACTCTTTATTAAGCCGAGCATATGCAGTTAGTTAAATCAGTAAATTCTAATATTAATATGAATACATTTCAAAATCTGTTTTAGAAAGATTAAGCCATGATATAATACATAATGTTAAAGTTGCTTATCTTGCACACATCACTAGAGGTTAGTCAAAAAACGTTTATTTCTAACCATGAGCTGGTCGGTAATTAATGTTTGTTAGTCCAATAACTGATTACATGACTTTTTTTATCTACAATATTGTAATCATTTGTTTAATATCTTACACACCACTAAGATGCTTGCCATCTTAACTGCTAAAAACTAACCTATTCTTAATTCAAAAATACAACAACAACAACTTTTACAGTAGGTAAGTTCTGATTTATATAAAGCCAATGTTTCAACCCATAATACTGTCATCATCAGGAAAAGTTACATTCAACAGCCTATATGAATGTAACTCTTACCTGATAATGACTTGATAATACTATGGGTAGAGACATTGTAATTATTAAAATCAGAATTTACCTACTGTAAAATTTGCTGTAACTGTATTTTTGAATAAATTATTCAGTTCAGTAGGCCCTTACTAAACACTATTCTACTCTAGTTTCACCCATTGTAAACTGTAATGCATAAACAATCCATCATATAAAGGTTTACATGTCCGTTATGCAAATGACCTATAATTTGGAGTCTTTTGGATGACTGGCCAACTTGTTTGAATGATTGGAAAGTTTTTTTTTACAATAAAAGATAGAACAATCATTTAATCCCCACTTATTGTTGTCAAAAATTATAAGATACCCGGAATACCCCTATTGTTGTTGTTTTTACCATTTGGCACAGTATCAATGCAAAATAATGAAGTAAGTATTCTATCTAAACACCATATGAAAAATTAATGATATTAGTATCTTTGCTCCACATCTCATAAAAACATACTCAACTCAAAGTTTTAAGTGATGAACAAAGTACAGAGATGAGAGACTTCAATTAAAAAAATTCTTGCTTTATGCATTCTCTGATGCAGAGCATGTACTTTCATGCATGCATATCTAATTCCTACAGATATGCATATCTAATTCCTACAGAATTATTTTGTCAAACTACAAATACTACTTAACCCCTTGACTATGACCTACTTATATTATTTGTAGATATGCAATTCCCATGAAAGTTCTTTACAAAAATGAAACTCGTGGATGAAATTCTTTTAAATTTGAGATAAAAAGGTTCTGTAAGTATATAGTTTTTGAAAAATTAGATTTTTATTTTTTCTCAAGCAATGTTTTTCTCATGCCTTTTTTTTTCTTTTCATATGTTGCCTATCCAACATTCAAATTAATTTTCATTTTAAGATTAAAAATACTTTTATACATCAGAAAATGTTCAAATTTCACATGCAAAGTCCTTATAATGTTCAGATAGTTATCAAACATTTCTTATGAAAAAAATTCATTTTATCTGTTATTTTCACAAACTAATATGTGTATGGGTTCAGTCGATTTGACCGATCTCGTAACCACCACAAATAATTAGGAAATAAATATAAGTTATGCCTTTTTCTTTCTAGAATGACAACAAATTATCACACAAAAACATAAATGTTTAGACTAAATAGCTTACATGTTTTAGTAGACTAGTATTTTGTAAAATACATTCACATCTCAATTATTATACATTATATATGTATATAGATTATTGCTATTTTGAAATAAGTACTTAAACTTATTTTTCCTAAAACATAGAACAGTAAATAAAGAAGTAAAGCAAACAATTATCTTTTCTAGTTATGACCTTCGTACTCAGTTGCTATTTGATGTAGTTTGCTAAGCCTTTTAAAATTTCACAAGTGGAGGATGTGAAAGGAAATAATTTTTTAGGTTTTATATACATACAGTTAAATAACCAAAAAATCATAAATTACTATATTGATACCATAGAACTCAATTATAATTTATCAATTTTAGTAACTAAGATGTATTTTAATCTAAAAAAATATTAAATTTGAGCAGACTAAAGACTCGACTTACCTCTATGCAGTCTTGTATCAAAAGAAAGACATAATGCCTTTATATTTCAAAATGGCTGAGAAAACCACTAGGGGGACATTCTGAACTTACAATTGGTTATTCACGTGTCATATACAGAAGTATGTATATATAAGGGATCGTTTCCAAAAATGGAAAGAGGTGAGTGGGGCTACTGTGTTTGATTCGGAACATGAGTGATATCTTAACAAATAGAAAAGATAGGAGGTTCTTATTTTATATTCTAGCTTGTCAATATCGGTAATTTGGGTTCATGATTGTTACAAAACTACAGACTTTGTATTTTGACATCACAAACATCTAATGAACCAGTGTTGCATTCAACATACTATGTGACACACAAAAATCAATGTTTATCTGTGTATTTTTAATATTTGCTTTTAAGTTAAGAAATTGAGTAGCATATAGTTCTAAAATTTGAATTATAATCTACAGTTTGATACCAAACTTATTGACATAAATTCATGAAAAAGTAGTTCAGTAAAATTTTGAATGCAAGTCAAAAAAAAGATGACATGGTCTTTGACCCATATGGAAAAGGTTAAAGAAACAACAACAGTAATAGAAGGGGGGAGTGTAAATATTTTGCATTTTTCAGCTATATTAATTTGCAAAACTACAAAACAAAATTTATATTAAAGCTTTTATTAATGACTCCATAGTGTCTGAAAGATTCATAAAATAAATATCATTTCTGTAAATTCCTATACCATACATTTTTTAAATGGTTTACTTTTAAAAGCATATTACTTTTGAAAAAATAACATAATACCGCCGTTATTAACATCAGCTTGTAAGGACTTACTGAATAATTTTACTTTGAATAACCTATTTATTTGTTTTTAAATATAATTCATATTATTCAAGTTACTAGAAAACAACAGGGATCAGCATATTAAAGAGTACAGTGTTTTGTAAACACTAACATAATACTAGGTTGTTTTTTAATATACCACAGGAAAAAACTGGTACTTCCTTTTTTTGTTGTTATTGCCTAAAACATGAAATCTGATGGAAAAAATTAGAAAGTTAATTTAATGCTTTAGAAGACTTATCATAATACGATACGAAGAACCTGAAAAAACCCACAGTATACTCTAATACACGACTTACAGTAAAATTTCTACTAATCTAGAAAAATCAAACTTAAAAAATGAAGACAAATATAAGATTCAATCCAGATACTGTCCTAACATCTTTTCTTGTCATGCAAACAAAGATTTTTTCAGGAAGCTAAAGTCAATCTAATAATAAATGAGAAGAAAATAAACAATAACACTAAAGAAATATATGTTAGAGACAAACCATTCAACAGATATTGAGATCAACTAAAATAAACAATAACACTTTAAAGAAGTATCTGTTACAGACAAACCATTCAACAGATAGTGAGATCAACTAAAATAAACAATAACACTCCAAAGAAATATCTGTTAGACAAACCATTCAACAGATAGTGAGATCAACTAAAATAAACAATAACGCTTTAAACAAATATCTGTTAGAGACAAACCATTCAACACATAGTGAGATCAACTCAAATAAACAATGACGCTTCAAAGAAATACCTGTTGGAGACAAACCATTCAACACATAGTGAGATCAACTAAAATAAACAATAACGCTTCAAAGAAATACCTGTTGGAGACAAACCATTCAACAGATAATGAGATCAACTAAAATAAACAATAACACTTTAAAGAAGTATCTGTTACAGACAAACCATTCAACAGATAGTGAGATCAACTAAAATAAACAATAACACTTCAAAGAAATATCTGTTGGAGACAAACCATTCAACAGATATTGAGATCAACTAAAATAAACAATAACACTTCAAAGAAATATCTGTTAGAGACAAACCATTCAACACATGTGAGATCAACTAAAATAAACAATAACACTTCAAAGAAATACCTGTTAGAGACAAACCATTCAACAGATAGTGAGATCAACTAAACTAAACAATAACACTTCAAAGAAATATCTGTTAGAGACAAACCATTCAACAGATAGTGAGATCAACTAAAATAAACAATAACACTTTAAACAAATATCTGTTGTAGACAAACCATTCAACAGATATTGAGATCAACTAAACTAAACAATAACACTTCAAAGAAATATCTGTTAGAGACAAACCATTCAACAGTTAGTGAGATCAACTTTGTTTTGTTTTTTCTTTCAACTCCACAGGGGTGAACAGTGATGAAAGATTTTTAACTCACTAAAAGGAGGAAGTCAAGTGAGTGGTGGAAGTTCTCAGTGAGTTGAAAATAAACTAATATTCATGCATTATGGTACTTTCAGAGGAAGAATTACCTGGGCTCTCTTATGATACATAATGATAAGTGTTAAAACAATATCTAAAACTCCAACTTTATAGCATTAATTCACTGGTACTATTTTAAAAGAAATTAAGTTCCTTACAAAAAGATAACTATAAATTAGCTGAAACAGATAACAATCTCACCTTCTTCCATAAATATAGAAATCATAATGTAATTAATTCCTTAAGAATCTAAGGTTAAATTACTTATCAACAACCCATGATGTCAAAAACTCAGTAAAGACATCCTCCAAAATAGGATCAAATATCACCAGATAACAGTCTATATATGAAAAAAATATGACAGACAATATACTCTACCAAGATATACACACCTATCTAAACTTCATACCAACAAACACCAATATACTGAAGAAATCTGCATAAAGAAATTAAAATCACTTATCAGGTATCACAACACTATAAACCAGTAACTTGTGGTGAGCAACATAATGGAGGAAGCAGTAATACACAGGGAGGAGAGGTGGAGTGGGGGAGATATGGCATGGAGCTGGCACATGTTAGAACATCAAACCAAAACTACAACACCTATTGTGAACAACTGTTTAAAAAAGTAAAATGGAATTTCAAATCATAATAATCAATTAAATGCATTTTTTATATTTGTTTCAAATGCTAAACAAATTAAAGTAACACAAAACAGGCAAATGACATCCATAAATAAAACTGTAATTCACTCAGCATGTTGAGTATGTGTTAAAAAGATAGACGATGCTCTTGGTTTATGACAGATCAGGTAAGGTTCTTATTTGCCATCTGGCCTAACAACATCTTATTTCCATAGCAACCATCAAGCAGACCACATCACTTGAATAAGTAATGCCTCATGTTTCATTCTCAACATTTGTCAGTAAAGGTGGTGATGGAGGGAAAGGTTTGGTAGGGGTTCTGTGTGTACTGCCAAATATTTAATTTTTTTACTCTATGAGGAATACATTTAAGCATATATAAAAGAAAATATTTTAAATTTTGAAAATTCAATATTATTATATTAACTCTCTCAACATGGGCTCGGTCAATTTGACTGACCACATGACCTCTTTGTACTCATTCAAAGTCTTTATAGATTTTATACTACTAACTTTTAATACAGTATGTATATATTCATGTAATTTTGCAGTCTTTCAGTACACGTTATAAGTCTTTCACATACAAAAAAAATCATATTTTTATGAAGTATTTTTAATAAATTAAAAAGACTTGCAACTGAATATGTTGAGTAATTGTTTTGAATAATCCGTGTGTAAAGTGATTTTCATGTTAAGATTAAAAATACCTTTCTTCATTTCAAAAATCTCAGATTTCATTTGTGTAATCTCTAATGCTGTTATAAGTTGTAAATCACTTGGGGAACATGCTGTTAACGTTACACTATCGAATTACGAAGAAACAACCTTGGCTTTCAATTGGTTATAGGTAATTTATAACTAAACGTAAGAGAGAACTATTAACAAATCCTGAAAGAGAGAATATGACAGGTGGGTGTGGCAGGAGAGGTCCCACTTTCTATTTAATAGCTCTGTAGCCAAATACAATTGAAGGCCATAAAAATTATGGTTTGTTTGAGAAATGACAATTTTATAGTGAGGAGTTTATGTTTAATTTCATAGTTATTGGAGGGGTAGTGGATAAAATAGAGAAGAGAAGATACCTAGAGAAAATATGTCCCTTGTGTCACAAGATATTTTTAAATAATAGCTTGTAGAATTAAGAACTTAAAACTTATATACAATTAAAATATGGATTAGTAGCTAATATTTTATGCTATACTAATTGATATAACATAAGCAAAAAGTAGTTTTATAAACTTTTGAATGCAAGACACAAACCTTGTGTTATGCGCAGTAAAGGATACCTGTGACGATAGGGTTAATGGATTAAAAAACAATTTTAAATAATCAAAGTGCTTATTTTGCTTGGCCTTTAAGCACATCACTGCTATAGCCACATCTATACAAAAAGCTATAAACTTAAGTAAACGACCATTATGTGAGCCAGAAGAAAGTGCACTAAGTAAAGGACAAAACATCATCTTAACACATAACAAGATACCTGTCCTAGATACAACTTAAGACACAACCTACAACCCACCAGGAGAAGGAAAGAATTTATTATCAAAGTAACATCGGCACACAGCCATGAAATATAAACAATACCATAATACCACTCTAACACGAACAAACTATCTTCAAGAGCCCAGTGAGCCGAAACTCTTAACCAATTAGCAGGATTGACTACCACAACTTAAAATGAAGAACATGTTCAATAATATGATGTGGCTCAAGCATTCGACCTTCAAATATGCAATACAACAAACTAACCACTAAACTATGCCTGAAACGATTGAGTTGGGAGTGAAAATTGAGATAAGTTAGCCTTGGTAGTTCCATTCATCAAGATGAGCTATATTGTTTGAATGAATTTCCCACACACACTTCTTTTCCAAACATTTATTTCTAAGTTTATACTTGTTCAACTATATTTAAATGCATATTCAAAACAACTGGAAAAATTTTGTAATTACCTAACTGTCCATCAGACAAGAGTATTTCAAAAAGTATCTTGTTTGGAAAACTTTATCTTAAAATGAAGAATTCTTTTTGAATATAACAAAATAATTACTTCTTTCTTTAACAGTGTGTTCAGTTTGTCTCAACACTGGCCAGTTTGTGCTTTAGAACTTATATCCCTATACACACTCAGTACTGTTCTTAAAAGAGAACTGATAATGAAATAAACTGATTACACAAAACAATAATTATATCATTATGAAAGATATTTCTTTAGCCAATTTTTAATGATATGTACCATTTCACTTAATATTTAGTTGCTGGACTAATAGCAAGCAAACATAGATACACACGTAGGTTAATACTAAACTATATCATGACAGCCAAAAAGAACTAACAGTTGGGATTATTCAACTATTCAGTTCTTTCTACAATTTGAAACTGTTTTGATTCTTATTGATTAGGTATTAGTCTAATTTTCACAAACACCTATTCCCACGTCCACCATATTAGGACACAGAGTCAAACTATAAGAAAATATCTATTACAATAAATACAAACAAAATGTGTCATTAGCGATAAAACTAAAAAGTGGTATTAGGAACTCTATAGTCTGAAAACTAAACGGTAATGAAACAAAATTTACAAAATTCCACAAAACAAATAATAAAGTGAAAATAAAAATTTCAAGTGTTATTCTCAACCAAATATACTCCAGTTTCTATAATCATTTAAAACATAATAAAACCATGAAAAGAGAACAAAATAAAACTCACCAATAATAATAATTATAATAATGACGACAATTCCTATAATTATGGCCCACATCTGAAAATAAGAAAATATAACCATTCAATAAATGAACATAAATTAATAAAAATTAAAGATGGGTTCAGGAAGAACTCTCCAATGAACTGAAACAAAATGGCTTAACAATAAATATTTCACAACTTTTTGTTGAACAAGGTTTCCAAAAGCAAGTACTCAATGCTAATAGGCAGAAAGCAAGGCCTAAAGAAATTCAGTAAGAAAAGAAAATACATTTGTGTAATGAAACAAGATATAATTGTTAGTGCTACTCACATCACCTGGATGAATATATATATATATATATATATAAAGTCATTTGAGAAAAGACAAAAAAATGAAGCAATCATTAAATGAGTATGCAGTATCTATGTTCTGATAGCAAATATATTTTGATTATAATTATGATACATGTGATGAAAGTCCTGGTTTTGTAGAAAAAAAGTAATATTTAATGAAATTTAATATAAGTTAAATGGTAACTGCAGGCAACTTGCTGGCTTGAAGACCATGAGAGAGTTATGTCTAAAACTTTAACAGCAGAGTTTTTTTTCCTTACTCTATTTTGGGTGTATGGCGACCTACCTCCTTCTACTACTATTAGGCTTGTAATACTGTTAAATAACAAAATAATGTAATATATTGCTTATCAAATGCCAGATCCTGTTAAAACATAATTTGTATTAAAATAAACTATGTCTTCAAATAAAAAGTTTTTCAGTCACAGTGTCAGTTTCCCCTATCTTATCCTATCAGATAAATATAACATACTAAAGGATATTAACACTGGTAAATTTTGATAAAGCAACAATATAACTTGTAAATTTTGCAGTTATACTTACACCACTAATATTTTTAACCATCCAGTTTAGTAGGAAAGAATGGTCTCATTACTGTTTAATATAATCTGATAAACTTGTACCTTTTCAGAAAGGCAGGTATTTATAATATGTACAGAAAATTCCAATGTGAATACAGTTCTCTATCAAAACTTGATATATTCTTATGGTCCATATAGTCCATATATACAGTCCAGCCCAGTTACATCCCAAAACACGCCATTATTTTGCAAAATAAAACATTAAGGCTATTCTATGACGGATGTTTCTTTAAGCAACTGTCCAAGGTATGAAAGCTGCACAAAATATTTGGGTAAAGTGTGACATATTTATATTGGATATCAGATAAGACCAGGTAGATGTTAAAGTGTTATATGAAATAACTGTAAGTTGATGAAATATAACTGTCCTTCAATACGAAGCCTCATTTACTCAGTTACCAGAGCCTCAAAACTGTTTTGGCTGATTACCAATCTGATCAAATAAATATCTCAGTATCTCTAACAAGTTTTTACAAATAATATTCTGTTAGCTTGCAGTTTCAATTCAATTTCTTAGTACTTCATTAATCCAGTAACAACTATTACAGCGTTTAGCTACTTTTTGAGCATGATGTCAAAGAAATGAGAGTAGCACTAACAGTACGATTTTAAAATCTAGGTTTTGATTTTAACAGGAAAAACTCAATAGTCTTGCTCTTTGAAAAGCCCAATACTCAGAAGGATGAAAAAAAAACAATTTAAGTAACTGAAATGAGAAGATTTGCAACATCTGCAAGAGAGAGAAATATACTTACCAACTATAATCACTATGATAACTACACCAATGCCAACCATTATAGCAATCATCTGAAAGAATATATGTTATTGCAATCTTAATATAAAACAGAATGCTTTTAACTAAAGGATTCATCCAGCTGTTACTGGCTAAACTTATTACTTGGTAGATGTTTTGTATAGCAACTATCATTATAAAAAAACAATATATTTTATGTAACTATTTGAAATTATTTTCTATATTTCGCTTTGATTTTAAGTACCGGCCAAAGCACATAAATGTGTGAAAAATGTATAACTTAAGTATGCATTTGTGTAAATAATATCATCGAGCAGAGGTCTGTATTTGTTTTACAGAAGCACAATGTAATAAAATAATAATTCAAATTATGATGACAATTCTGTCAGAAATAAAATAAAAATCAGTAATTATTCATGATGTTTCATATTTATGTTTTTTTCTTTTGATTTAGTTACAGAAACTTGATGCAATGTTATAATTAAATATAGTAAATATGTAAACAGTTATTAAATGGTAAATGAAGATATTGTGGGTACTGGTGCTAACAGCTATTATATATTCTTTTTTTGAAACTTTTATAAAGAAGAAATTATGTATTATCTCAAAGTGTTTAGTAAAATAAATTCTAGTCTCCCTACACTGACACAGCAATTATAAAATACTGAAAGGAAGAATGTAATATTTTACTTTACAATAAAAACATAACAGACAAGAATAAAGTCTAAAACATAAATCAAATGTTCTTAACATTAATAACCCTATAGAAAATCATAAATATGAATTCCACTTTGTCATTTTGCCAAGTAAACCTTTAGATGGTGGGTCTAAGTTACCATCAAATTAATTTTTTTACTACCTATACACATAAAAATGTTGTTATAATCTCAACGTTATGTCATGCAGTTACAGTTTAACATTTGATAACTATATAAACATGTTTATTTATTACAATTTATTGTCTGTCGTTTCCCAACTGCCCCGGTATTGAACAAAAGGCCTCATAAGCACTGAATATAATTTATTTTCACTCAAAAGTTTTTAGAATTCTTTATATAAAACCAAAAGAAATTTAATCTTATAATATCAACTTTAAAACTTCAACCCACCTTACAGTTCTTCCACCAAAACTTTCTCTTCAGTTTACCAGCTTGTTGTTCAAACTGTGATGCCCCTTGCTGCAATGCATCTGATGAAAATAAAAGTTTTTAGAAAATATGTCTTGGAAACTTCCTAAGTTCTTGAAATCAATCCATAAATTGAAAAAAAAAGCTGTATTCTAATAAACAAAACATTAAACAAGCATTATCTATCTACTTTGGAACATATTTCTAATATTGCTGTGTAAGTTAACTTGTTAATCTTTTAATACTTTCTGTTTGTCTCAACAAAAGGGGTCAGAAAACATAACACAATGTCTGTATAATATGGCTTGTTAATATATTAAGTAAATTTAAGTCTCCCAATAGCAAATCAAAGTGATGAATATTAAATATGACCTTTGATTAATGTCAGTATGCTACCTACCAAATACAAATTTTGTTTGATTTTTTTTTCAGACAAAAAACTTTCTCGGTTGTAATTAAACTGATTCGTAAAACTTTGTGATCTATGATGATGATGATGACAAAACCTTGTCGAAACGTTGTACATTTGCTGTTATGTTAAACTTATATTAAAGTTTTTCTTCATTACCCATTCAAGCCGTCTCCAGCCATTATTAGTCTCAAAGTGGGTTCCTCGTCATCGAATTTGTGATCTAACTTCAGTAAAAATACGTTGACCTACATTTAATACACTATTCCTCCAGTCCACTTTCTTATTTTAACCATAAAAAGCTTCCAAAAAAACAAAAGGCAATAAATACAAATATATTACACATTTGTAATTTTACAGCACTGAAACTGAATACAAAATTTATATAGTCAAATTATGAAATAAACATCTTTGTAACAAAACATTTTGCAAATTAAATAAAATGCTGCAAACAGTTTGGAGTTAAAAAAACAGAAGTGGGGTTGTAACAAAATGGGTGAAACACGGAAACAGAACACATACGTAGTAGTTAAAAGTATCAGTACAAAAAAAGACAAGAGTTTTTACAGAAAGAGTTGGATATTAACATTTATAGTTCCAAGTAATAGCTGAAGTGTTTCCATTTATAATTGTTATATAAAATGAAAAAGTTTGTAAACAAGCACCTTCATAAACACAAGTACACACACAAACTCATGCACATATCCTTCTTGCATTGTGGTCAGAATCTTGGAATTTCTCTATATAATTACCTTAAGGTGCAATAAACGTCCCAAGTTTCTTAACAATGGAAAAAAATAAACACTATTCTCTTACGTTTGGAGCATTCCAATATCATTCATTTTACAAATTGTAAGAACCGAGTTTAAAATATCATCATTCTAAATAATTGTAATATATGAAACTTCAACTTTCTGATACTGGTACCTAACAACTGTAGTACGTGCATTACAAACATTTATTTAAATTTTTGTTTCTAATTGTAAAATGCTAAAAGTATCAATAAAATTTCTTAGTAAATATATCTTACTATGAAATTATTTTTCAACCTGTACATAAAAAAAGCCACAACGAATCCCTCTTAGACAAGCCATAAAAAGAAATTGGTAACTTTGCCTCGTATGCACTTGTTAAATTATAAAACCTACCAGACATTTATTCACTTACTTATCATGCACGGCAGGCCAAAACCACAACACAAGCTAAAACATTATTACCTGCACGATCATCCAATTCAGACAATTTCTGATCTCGTTCCAGGACTTTTTCCACGTTGGTTTTCATGATATCCACAACCTGATTTAGGGGTGGGGTTATTAGAATAGTTAAGAGAATTGAAACAAAGGATTTGATAGACTGGGACAACAAGAGGGTTTATTAATTTTTCACACAAACAAAATCAGTTTTTTTGAATGTGGTTGCAGAACAAAGTCTCCCGTAAAAGTTTTTTTGATTGGAAATTAGATTGTGAGATATGGAAAGGTAATTGACAAGTATAGTCTGGCAAAGAATAATATAGATTATTAAAGATTTCACAGATGTAAAACAGTTAAATATGAAAGAAAATATAAACACTACACTTAAAAGAAAGAAATTACTCAATAATATTTAAAAGCATTGATGATAAACATTATAAATGGATGCGTGGAATGTTTCATATCAATGCACAATATTAGGATGTAGAAAAACAAGATGTGAACGAGTAAACATGTAAAAGCTTAAGTGCAAGACACGAAGACTGAAAAATATGAATGCAAATTGAAAGATGTAAGTCAGTTAAAGTGAGCAAGCTTAAGTTACTGAAAAGAAGAAAAGAGACAAAAATAATTGTTGTGACTGTTTAGAATTTGTGAACATTCTTAAAATATAATGTAAATTTGTGAGATTTATGCACAAAAAACTTTTTGTACTTCCTATCTGAACCACATTCAAAAAGTCTGAATTGTTGTTTATACCACACACTGCAGCTTGATCTACGAGCTTCTCACCTGCACGATCATCCAATTCCGATAGCTTCTGGTCACGTTCCAGTACCTTGTCTATATTCACACGCATTATACCCACCACCTAGGATAGCAATATTACTGAAACTTCAAAATATTCACACCAAATGACTATTAACTGTCTTCTTTACCCTCACACGCATTATACCCACCAACTAGGATAGCAATATTACTGAAACTTCAAAATATTCACACCAAATGACTATTAACTGTCTTCTTTACCCTCTTTTCATATAATTTATGCTGACTGGACCAATATTGACACTCAATACATTTTGAGAGATAATTGAGACATAATTCCAGTTAGAATGGGGTACATATACCTAACTAGCTCGCCAAGGACATGTGATTTCCATTCCCGTAAAGACAAAAGCGGTCATAAGCTTTTAAGGTGACAAATTCCAAGGACTATCATTTAACAGGTACCAAATTTAAATTTACCATGTGCTATATATTCAGTAGGTTGTTCACCTAAACATTAACTATACTTATACTTATTAATCTTTTATGCAATAATTTGTTAAACAAAATTATCTGAAACCTCTTTCCTTAACAAAGGACAATGCATTAAAAGTTAGCTTTTTTGTTTTATGTGTGTTTTCTTCTATTTTTGTTAATTTAAGTTAGTTCACTACTATGTTAATTTCTGACTTTTTAACTTTTATGAAAGATTGTCTTTTCATATTTATTTTACATTTTTTTGTATATTTTTGGTGTGGGTCACAACTGACAACCCTACTGATAATTGTTAACAACACTTTTATGCATGTTATATAAAACTCTGCTAACTTTCTAATAAAACATACACTTTGTTACACATTCATTATCTACAATTATGTTTAATAATCCCAAGAGGCAGGTAAATATTTCAAAACATATATCAACAAATTGAACATTAAAACTAGCTTAGAAAAAAATTAAAACATCATATAAAAATAGTTCTTCAAATGCTGATATTGGCTAAGGAAATATTAAAATAAATTTCTTACTATTTAAGAGCAAACATATTACTTATAAACTATTAATAACAAATTTAAAGTGCACATTTTACAACAATGTCAATGGCTATGAAGAAATATGCATTCCCTGTTATACAAATTGTATACTTTGTTTGCTAAATTATGTCCTTGTTTTAACACAATTTATTATAACTAGGATTGTAACAAATAAACGTGAAGTAAACAGTCTCAAAAAGCATCAAGTATATTTGTACAAACAGTCACATGTTGAAATTTTGTCACATTTCTGCACTTCGAGTGTCTAGTCATGGCGTTCTTATATAACCCTACTTATTAAGATTTCAAAAGCATTATTTTAACACTTAGCAATACATATTTTAATTTATATGTAAAAAATCAATATACACACTTATGATGCGTATGAAATGTTATAAATTTATAATAGTAGCATATAACTCTCAAAAGTATTTTTCAAATGAGATTAAGTTATAAAACAAGTGAAACTATATAAAATGAGAAAATTATCTTTCCATATCGGCAAACAAAAAAAAAGGAAAAAAAGTTGACTTTAAGTACCTCATCAACTTGAGCTTGTGTTTGCTGTACTCTCTTAGATGCTGCTTGGTGTTGGAGGTTAGGTTGTCGAGCTCCTTCCTCTCCTTGGGGCCCAGTTGTTCTACCATCCTGAGACCTAAATTGTATGAAATATCTATTATAATAATACTCAGTTTTTGCCTATCCTGGAAATGCTCATGCACATTACTATCTAAATGCATATGCACGCACACTACATTTCAACAGAAATAAACAAAAGGTGGATGTAAGTATATTTTAGTTGAGATTTTTTTACAACATTTAAAAAAATGTTTTTCAAAAGTATAATGTTGGGTCATAAAATAACATAAGCTTATTTATTGATCATATTAAGTACATTAAAATTTAGCCCTAACTAAAGTAAAGCAAAAAACTCACACAAGTTAGTATTACTTTATCGAATATAGGCCGTATTTAATAAAGGTTTAACTAATGTTAGGCCTAAGACAAGCAAACTTCGAGATTTTGGTGTTTGCAATTAAATTCTTTTGTATTATTCTAGAAATCCTGTATTTGAAGAAGTACTGTCGCAATAAATATATTAATTTGACCATAAATGTTTTGCAGGTCTCTGCAAGTTTATATATAAATATGCATAATTATTTAGGAAAGCTACAAAAATGTTTATAAAACAGATTACATCAAAGGAAGTATAGTGTGAATTTTACACAGCATATCCAAACCTGAGATGAAATATAAAAAATTAATTTCATGGAGAAAAAAAAAACTGCAGCCATAAAACAAACATCCAACACCACAGCATAAATCATGAGGTGGGTAATTATGTAATGTTTCCTGTTTTACTGAGGTACTGGTGGAAGTAAGACTCAAACTATGTTGGTGGTACACCATCTGTCCAAGTTAACCTTAATGTTGTAAGGCAGAGCATCCACACCTGTTCCTTTTTTTCTTCTTTTTTTTGAAGTTGAGGTTAAACTGGATAAACAGACAGTGTACCCCGAACACAGGGAACATTACATAATGACCAACCTTATGATTTGTGCCCTGGTGTTGAATGTTTGTTTCATGCAGCAATTTTTTTCTTTTTGTTTCTATCTCCATAAAATTACATTACATATATAAATACATACATCAGTTTCAGTAAGTCTAAAAAGAACTATCTTCATTTATACTTATTAAATCATTTGTAAACAATGTTTCTGAAATAACAAAAGAAAGGGGATAAAAATTCTTTCAAAATAAGCCAGTGATTGGCAATAAAACTAAAGCTATTATGGTGACAACTGCTGGTGAATCTTATTTTGGAGTACTATCAAACATTATCTAATTGATATTTCTCCAAAGTATGTCAAACATGAGTCAATTATGTGATATAAATATAATTTTATCAATAACAGGCTGTGTGCATCAGATCAGCAACTGAGAACACAAAGTTCAAGTTTGGCTGAAGTAACCATCCCAGATTACTCTTCACACAGAGATAATTACAAATCTACTTGCAAGTTATGGAAAGGGAATTCTGGGATGGAGACTGCATGCCCAGTATTTGACTTGTAGTTTGATTGGTTTATACACAATGATCTGCCAGAAAAAAAAATGGTAGGCTGAGTGGTAATCACCTCGGGCACAAAATATAAGTGATATTTGACCAATGACATGAGGATGAGGTGTTATCAAAATGAATGAAATGTTGATGTAACTGGTTGACAAATCAAAGATTAACAAAGCTTAGTGACTGATGACAATTTGCAATCTCCATAAATACAAACGAAATTTTAGAGACACATTCTTCAAACACTTTTCTAAGAAGTTTGAATAAAATTCTGGCTAATATGAAATGGGGCTCAGAATCCACCAAAGTGCATCTAGCGGTGTTCCAACTTTTTAAATTTTCCCAAGGTAAACCAAATGAGCCCACCCTGTATGAGGGAAAGAAACTTGTTCCCACATCATCCCTCATTCCTGCTTTTTTTCTCAACAATCACAAGGGACTTGGTAGCTGCTTACATTTACCTAAAATATCCCATTATTATTAATATTTAGCCTTATTCAAGGATCTTGAAATTCTTCTCTAATTTTTCATTGTTTCAGACTAGTTGTCAACAGTGCCACTCAGCACTGCTTCAGCAAGAAAGCTCGATAGCGAGTATTCAGTTTCTTTTCTCAATTTTTTTATATCAAGAGTTTTCATTATCTTTAAAAGTGAATGTGTGACATTACTAAAGCAGGCAAATAACACCTCCGGTGTGAAGCAATACCTCTCCAACCTCTCATTTATAGATATTTCTCTTCCCTTATAAAGGCTTCAGATTGTTCAACCAATTACAAACACATTATAAATATTGACGAGTCAGAATATAAAATTTCAACCTCTTATCTTCTTGCTTTATTGAGATACCATTATTTGTTCGACCCACATAACACATTCTTCCCAGCTACTCTCTTTCAAGTAAAGTCTGTTATTTTCTCTGGCATTGCTATTGGACGTTATAGTCAACAGAAAGAAGTATACTCTGAACTAAATAAATCAGATATTGGCTGTTTTATCTTAGTGCACAATAAACCATAGTTTTACACACAAAGATTGATTTGTTTAGACTAAAGATGTTGATCTACACATTAATGGAATTTTTTTTAACATAACATTTTATTCTAATGCCTGATACAGTTTTTGTGTTATAAAATGTACATTTGAAAGCTGTACGAATTACTTTTTGGAAAACCAACAAATAGGCTTACTAAGCCACACACCTGGATTAATGTAGCATGATACAACTTGATAGTTTGTTTACCCTAAGCTCTCTTGCTATGTGACATGCTGCTTTATTACAGCAGTTAGACATAGTTCAGAGAACAATAAAACTAAATGAAAACAGTTGTGAATAGGTGAGAGGCATGAAAACTGTTTGAATAAATACTTTTAATTGTCTGCCACAATCTGCAGTCATTAAAGGGAAAAAATTATTTCATATTTTCCACCTTTTCAATGTACACTGATTATTTCACTACAGTTAGTGTTAGGGTAGAAAAATAAGAGACAAATTATAGTTTTACACACAAAAAAAAATTTGATATTCATTTAGGAAGTTCTAGAGGTTATACAACTAGAATACAAAAACTGTAAGACGAAAAAAGGAATTTTATTCCAAGCATGAAAATCACCTTTCACTCAGACTGATTGAATAAAGGCTTATAAATTCACATACAAATCATTTGTCATACTTGTGATGTTTACTAAATATTTAGCAATTTTCATGATGATACACTAAGTATACTTTCATGATTATATGGTAGTTGCAAGATCATGACTGACCCATGTGCATAGGGTCAAAGTCATTCTGGTGGCTGAACTCTTCTACGATTAAAATGTTGATGAAAATGTAAAACCAAGGTAGACAGGTAGATAAGCTGTAATACAGATGGGATTGGGGGGTGGCAAGAAGAAGCACCTTTTTTTCTGTGGAATATAGAACAACATTCAAAATGATTAATTCAGACTTTTCCTTTTGCTCACCCCTCCCATTTTGGTCCAGAATACCACTCACAAGCTGTAATATCTGATTCACTTGGTACCCAACATCTATTGGTAACCCTGTATTTCCCCTTTTTTTGCTTGTCCTTCCCGAGTTTTGCCTTTTTTCTTCTCATTTTATAGGACAAAATATTCTTCCCAAAGTTTTGATATCTTAAAATTATTCCTATACCTTTTGGACACTTATTCAGAATATGTAACTCTGGTGGAAAAAAATAATAGCTTTTATCAGAGAAAATAATCAAAGAGAAGACTATGATATTCAGTGTATTTTTGAGCACACAATTTCTATGGTAAGCTGTCTAAATCACCTGTTATATAACAAACACAAAAAACAGCTAAAAAATCCATCAAATTCAACTTTCTGCAGAAAGTGGACAAAGAAAAGACTCAAAGAAGAACACCAGTAACAGAACAACTCATAAAGAATACAGCACAAAATGACTGTTTATTTGAAAGTAAATAAATCTGGAACAGTCATGTTAACAAATGTATTTGTATGTAAACTAATTTTCAGAAAACAATAATAAACATTAAAAAATGCAAAATCTCCTAAAAATTTAAAATTGTAGGTTTCAAGATAAATGAGAGAAATTATAAATTTGATTTTTTTGTACAAAAACTACAACTAATTATTAGAAACATGCCAATTCAGACCTTTACCACAAAACTACAAAAAGTGATTTCACAGAAAAGTCCAACAGAGAAGTCTTCACAGTATTTGTCATGAAATATGGAAATAATGTTGACATTAAACACACGAGTTATAGAAATATTATTAATATTATATTTAGTCAGATGATGTATAATATATAATTTCTATCATTTACATATGTAGGTATTATTCAAAATACCAAACACACTTTTCATTAAAAATAACCTTTTTTTAGATACTTATTAAACAGTTGTCATGTGAGAAACAGTAAACCATCAAAAACAAATACTAAAGGACTGGCCATACATTTTATTTTTTTTTAAATATTGGGAAAGGGTTAAGATTACATCACTTTTCTTTACAAAAATCATTAAATGCAGTTTAATATAACCCAAACACGTTTCTAGTTTATAAAAGCAAGCTCTTCAGATTTCACTTGACTTCACATTCAATTATCTTCAATGGTCAAATAATTTGTATACAAAATTTTTTTTTCTTTCTCTAATATCAAGGCTCTGCATAACAGACATATAAATATTATTATTCATTTGCACTATACTGCTACTACACCATTAGTTATTAATACTCCAAGAACAAAAAGCTCATTCCAAACAAAATAACATGACTTTGGATGATAATTTCTTCTATTAACAAAATTATGATGTTTTTTCCACTATTCTGTAGTCTCTACTTTAATTAAAGTTTAATTATCATGAGAATGAATAAAAGTTACCTGTCATTAGTATTAATAAACAAGGAAATATCGGTGCACAGGTTCCCTATAACCTGAAATACTTCAACATAATACAATTTATCTCACTTGTTTTAGCAGTAGTATATCATACAGTTATAACATATATTAAAATTTAAATCACATAGGTTGTCAGTCATCACAAGTACTGATCAGTATCATCATGATTTGAATCAACATCAGTTTCATAACAGTATTAATGTCATATTACTAGTATTACCAGATTTACACAAATATACTGCATCAGTATATTCAATAACTAAGTTATTGCTAATGTTATTACTAAAAGTAAAAATAAGGTCTAGGAGCTTATATAATAAAATCGACAAGTACTCCGATATATATTTTCATTGTGAGATTTTTATAATTTACTAATGTATTTACAAAAAAGGTACTTTTTTAGTTGTCACATTGAACATTTTCATTAGGAAAAATTTGGAGAAATAAAAAAAACTTAAATTAAGCCTAAAGTAAATCATATGCACCGACGCTAAAATTGTTAGTCGTTACTGGCCTTGAGATTTTGCTTATTTTCAAATTCCAAATGTTTCTCGACAATATTAATTTATATAAAAGTAAAGAATGATGGAATAATAAATTTCACACTTAAAATTTATAGTACAAATGGCATTTAAATTTTAATTCTATACTCACATTGTTACAATCTACAACACTTAAAGTTAGGACCAAAATGAAAGGAAGTTGTAACACCTATGTGGAAAATATACAGTGGCCTAAGCGTCGAGCACTGAGTGATGTCATCAACGTTTCCACTTTTACCGAGTTGATTTTCCTCTGCGTTGCTGGATTTCCTCTACAAAGGACAGCACATTTATCCTATATATTAAAAATTTTTATATACTGAATATAGTGACATTAATACCCAATTTTTATGGAAAATTGGAGAATTGAAAATGAAACAAAAATTTTTATTTCCTTACAAATTATTTCATAGATATCAAAATTGTGGCGTTTAACTTAAGTATGTCAAGTTCTATAACAAGATATTCAGGAAGCAAAACAAAGGCAGAATAACATATTTGTTTTTCAGTCAGTAGGCAACACAACCAAAAAGAGTACAACGTCGAATTTAAAATGCAATTACGTTTATTGAACGTTATTAGCTTGGGTGAACTAAATGCTAGAATCAGAATTTATAAAGGGTAGCGAAAGCAGCAGAAACGTGCATTTTCTCAGTTTTGGAAACTTGTAGCTGCTATTTGAGCTTATCAAAATCGAAACAGGACTCCAGTACTCTTTGGAGTTCGTGGTTGTAATTTCTAGTCCATTATTCTTTCCCAGTTCGCCATGTGTTATCTACTAACTGATCACTACACTCTTCTACCAAAATCGGTAATGTTAAGAAAACGTTTCTGAGATTATCATGTTGCAGATTTCTTGCATTCCTGTGCTCAAGCAACTCGATTTGGTTTTAAATGTAATCTTTAAGAATAACAACGCAAATTTTTACTCCCTAGATAACAAACGTAGAAATTACGGTAAGATAATAGAGGCTTGTCAATTTCATCCCTGGGAAGTTTTTTCAGATTCTTCAAATTGGCGATGCTTCAGAAGCTGCAATGTTGATGCATATTTTGTCCAATGGCTCGTAAGCTGAAGTATAATTCTTCACAATATCAAAGAGACCTTTTGCACGAACTTATTCAAGTGTCAAAAAGTTACTGGCAAATCTGACAACTGTATGTTCCATGTTTCTTTCACTTTGCGAAGGGGTAAGGCTTCTGGCTAAAACAAAGTGTTGAACTGACGAGAAGACGAAAGACGGGAAACTTTTGAAACGTCGTCCTCTACACTTGTGTTTTTACAACAGATAGTTGCTATCCATTCCAGTTTACCCTTCATGAATACTCTGCCTAAATAATCTATCAAAGAAAAGTGTTGAATTCATCCGCACAATCAAGGGAATATTCAAGAAAAACGAGATTTCGCATTGTCAGGGCGTTTTAAGCTTTTTTTAAAGATATTTTTATTTGTATATGTTGGATCTTCAACCAGCATGTCTACAAAGTACAATGACAAAGCATTAAGTTGTTCCAGCAACCCACGAACACTGTTTTGCAATGACAGCCAATGAGTTGGGGCTCATGAAAGAATGTAATGTTTTAGTGAATACTGGAAAAGCTTCCAACTGTTTGTTTGTTTGAATTTATG